GCAACATTGTCATCGACTGTGTGGCAAAGCTCTTAGGCTCTTCATATTTCTAAGTTCTATAAAATTTGAGATCGCATATGATAATTTTTATATGAGAGAAAAATAATATCTATGAGCTAAAAAAGTGGTCGACTACATTACAAAAATGGATATTTCTATGTATTTTAGACTAATTATTTTATTAATTTAGGCTAATAATTGTTGAAAGTCTCAACGGAAAAATAATAGAAGTCGTTTGTGAACATGAAAGACTAGCTTTTGGAACATGTAAAGCATCGCCCTCCTTGTTTCCTTGGTGCTACAAGACTGGAACTACAAGCAAACAAATTTCGCCTTCTTCTAATACTAAGGTTTTGTTTGGGATGGTTTTCTTCTTGTTTCTTAAAACAACTTTTTAATAAAAAAATTAAATTTTTATACTAAAATACTGCTTTAAAAAATAATAAAAAAAAAACTGTTTCAAATGAAACCTAAGTCAAGAAAAAGTTAAAATAATAATAAAAAGTCTAAAGCTGGTGTTTCAATTTCTTAAAATTAGGGAAGATATTTGAAATGGACAGAGAAAAATATAATGCAAAGAACAGCTTGAAACTTCCCCTGAATGCGTTTGATTTGGTTTGAAGGAATTTATTTGGATTATAATAAATTTTGATTCAATACCCTGTAAGATATAGTGCTTGTAGACTAAAGCCAAAACTAGAAGGGAAGCACTACAATAAACAGAGTAGCAAGATAGATAAGGAGAATATATTGTAATACCCACTCAAATAGTGTATAGTTACACCTGGTCAAGCTAATCTGCCCAAAGGTTTAATGTGTTAAAACATCTGTATTCCATATAAACTTACAAATTTTACCAAGTCCAATTTAGGTCATGATGATCAAATCACCATAAAATCACTTATTATAATTAGAAAGACACATTAAAATAAATTAAAAAATAGCAATTAATGACCCCTAGTACATAATGCCAGAGATATGTGTTATACTTTAGCAAGATTGATGGAAGATTACATCTCACATTTTTCTCCTCTGTCTCAGAAGAGTAATGTTATGCAAACTGTGTATAGGAAAGCAGGAGAGGCCTTTTGTTGGTGGGGGTTGAACTGAGATGGTTATGGCTGACAAGCTTTCTAAAGTCATTGGCGATCTTTTGATTGAGGCGTAGGTTAATGCAATGTGGGAGGCGAGCATGTCTAAGTGGTGAGCATAGTAGGTCCCATGGTCAGTTAGTTGTGAAAGATGAAATTGAATCATCTTAAGATGACCTTTTATTATAGGTTGGATGACAATGTTACTGATGTTGTTTTAGCTTGTGTAGGGGAGAATGACTTTGATGGGCATTTCTCATCAGTAGGTGAGTCCCGATATGAGCGGTTCATATGGTCCATTTGTGCCCTTACTTTTCCCATGGGAGGTGAATCCCCTCTGACTTTCTTGTCGAGTTAGAGATTGATTACTCTCAACAAGCTCACATTGTTAAGGCATTTGAGATACTAGTTCATCTGTCCATTGGCTGCCTATTAAATATCTAAAAAGGCATATGTAAGCAAATAGTGTGTAGGGAGAGAAGAGTGATATATATGTTTGTAAATAAGAGAGGAGGGTGTTTTATTGGATCAAGAAGATAAAGAAAATTATATTTGAATATTTTCTTCAAAATTTAATTAAAAATAATTTAAAAAAAATTATTGGATTTATTTTTATTTTAAGATATCCATAACATGCAAATAATTAAATATTTTTTTTTATTTTATTCATCATAAAGTATCATATAAAATTAAAACTCACCCTCTCAACGAAATATTTTCATATTTTCAGAATCATAACATTCCCTATTAATTGAGATCTTTAACTCTTATTATGAGATCATAGCTTTGATGTCTATTATTATTAAATGTGTAGATAAATTTGTGATTAAATTCTTCAATTTTTTTTATAAAAGATGCACTAAATATATAAAAATCATTTAGAATGTTTTTTCATTTTAAGAATTTGGGGTTGAAAACTTAATCCACCTTATCTAATATTAAAAATTTATAACGGGTCATTAGTTAGAGTTCTATGTAAATAGATGCATAATTTTTTTAGCTTTTGAACTAATTAAAATAAAATTATACACATATCATTTCTGTAAACTTCGAATTCAATTATTCAAATCTATTTAATTAATACATAGTTAATAAAATAAAATTTATATATATATATAAAAAAGCGAGGAGATTTGGGTGTAACACCAAACAGCAAATGGAGATGAGGCTTAACTAATTACGTGGCACGTTTTTATTTGAAACTGAGAATTGCTTTAAGGAAGATATTGCTGCTGGTGCTTCAGCTTGCTTGTTGCTTTCAGTGGAATTCGCGCATTCTAGACTTCTAGAAGGTGCTGGATTCACGTGTAGATGGACCAGGTGGAGGAATATCATAATAATGACAACCGGATAGAATTGATAGCCTAATTTATGTATTAAAAATATTATACAAAAATAATAATGATTTATTTTCTGTAAACTAATAAAATAATTAAAGTATCCTGTAATATTTTTTTTGGAAAATTTGGGGGCAATTGCCCATATATTGATCAAGAAAAAGGTTACAAGAAAAGCTAACACTTACATCTCAAAAGACAACAAAAAAGAGGAGCTGTAAAGAAAGAAAAGTCAAAAAGAGCACAATGGAACTAAAAAAGTCTCACAGGTGGGCTCAGAAAGATTCCAAACAGGAACCCAAGCTTAAAGTCATTGCAAAGACTGCTCAAAGCTTCGAGGCTGGACAAAAGTGCAGAGCACCCCGGTTTCCTAGGAAGAACCCAACCCAGGCAAAATGCCGTCCAAGGAAAGCACCGGTTGCATATTGCCATTCCAAAAGAAGTGACTAAGGCCCTCCAGGGGTGCAGAAGTTGGGGGTCTGAAGGAAACATCATTGCCCAGAGACTTCCAAAAATCCATCACGTAGCAAAATTCGGGAGGAGAAACAGGCAGGAAAAGTGAGCTTGAGACTATCAATATCCTTCCAGTTCTTAGTTTTTGTCATAATTGCAAAAATGATATTGTGATACACAGCAGCAATAGACAGACAGTTTCCATTAAACCTCCTGTTGTTTCTTTCCCTCCAAGTAAAGTAAATCAAACAACAAATGACCAAAAAGGAGTTCTTCTTCTCTTTAGTGTTAAAAAAGTGAAAATCATCTATGAATTCAAAAAGTTGCATCAGGGTGGGTCTAAAAAAAAACCCAAGTAAATCCGAAAGCAGCTCTTTTAGAAGACTTTAGGTAAAATCACACTGAAAGAAAAGGTGTCTGATGTTTTCACCCTCCACGGAGCAGAGAGGGCAAATGGCAGGAATATCAATGTTTCTAGAAGCAAGAATGTCAGCGGTTTTGAGACCATCATTTAAAGCTAACCACGCATAAGCCGAGTACTTAATTGCAGATTTTTTATGCCAAATAAATCTGCACCAGTGAAACTCATTCTCTTCTTCAAAATAACACAGTTTAAAAGTTTTAAAGACCGGGGGACCTTTTCCATTCCAGGTGATACTGGCAGAAGAATCCTGGGGATGGATAGAATGAATATGGGCTATGATGGCAGTATCAAGATTCATAGGAAGACTCCAGCTTCCATCACGAAGATAATCAGAAACCGCTCCAAAATACAAAGTATCACCATGAGTGAGATTAGCAATCGATTGCCCAATAATCCACGGATCCCAGAAAAAAGAAAGAGGGCTTTTATCTTTACAGATATGAAAGTTAATTTTATTCTTAATTCTAGAGGCAACAGAGAAAAAATTCTTCCAGAATTTAGATGCATAAGCGGGATAGCCTTTAAAAGGAGACTGATATTTAAATCTGAGCCAAGAGGCAACCAAAGAATTGCTGTTATAATATCTCCAAAGGAATGTGCAGGTGAAGCCAAATTGCATAGAATGAAGATCAGGGATGCCCAGGCCTCCAAAGGCAGTGGGTTTACATGTTTTCTTCCAAGAGATTAATTGCAGCTTTTTAAAAGCCGCATTCCCATGATAAAGAAATCTGGCATAGTACCTATCAATAAGTTTGCAGCAACTCTTTGGTATTATAGCCCCTCTAATCCAATAGGCAAGAGTATTGGCAATGGTAAATTTTAAGAACTGGATTCTACCTGCAAAAGATAAGAATTTTACTTTTCAACCATCAAGTAGAGTAGAGAGTCTACTCAGGAGTGGAAGGAAGTTAGTGATTGAAAGTTTTTTGAGAGCAATAGGTAGGCCAAGGTACTTCATAGCAGAATCAGAAATTTGATAGCCCAAGAGGTTGGCAATATCTGCATTAAGAGGGGCATCTTTGGAGAAGAGGATGGTGCATTTGGTTTTGTTAATCATAAGACCAGAAGAGGCAGCAAAAATCTCCAGAACCGCATTCAGAGCATTGGCATTTTGAATGCTGGCAGAACCAAACACAAGGACGTCATCAGCATAAAGTAAATGGCTTAGAGTGTAATTATCATACTTGATTCCCCTGAAACTACCCGCGGCAAAAATACAAGAGAGAGCATCCATGGCAATGTCAAAAAGCAGCGGTGATATAGGACAACCCTGACGGAGACCCGAGGTGGAAGTAAAGTACCCTTCAAGTTTGCCATTAAGGAAAATAGAAAACGGAACATCATATATGCAGCCATTGACCGAATTGATGAATTGAGGAGGAAAACCCTTGAGCCTCATTCTATTAGAGATAAACTCCCTGGATACCGTATCAAAAGCTTTTTTAATGTCCAGTTTAGCACAAAAGTGGTTATTTTTGGCAGCTAAGCCCATTTCTCTCAGGATTTCTGAAGCAAGAATGATATTATCAGAAGAAATCCTGTCTTTAATAAAACCGGCTTGACTAGGATGTATAATAATGGGCATGATATCTTTCATTCTGTTGGCAATCAATTTAGCAATGATTTTGTAAAAAGTGTTGCAAAGAGAGATTGGTCTGAAATCAGTGATGCAAGAGGCGTGAGGATACTTAGGTATCAAAACAATGGCTGTAGCTTTAAACCCGTCCTGAAGTAATTCCTAATAGCTTGACATACATAAGAACCAGTGATATCCCAAGTGCTTTTGTAGAACTCAAAGGTGTAGCCATCAGGACCAGGTGATGAATTGAGAGCCCCGTCAAAGATGACTTGTTTCATTTCAGGATCAGTAATGGGCCTGGTGAGGGACTCGAAAAATTGAGGGGGCATGGTATTTCCAATGGGAATGCTGTCCAAAGAGGCATTTAATGGGTTTGGAGAGTTGAAAATAGTTTTAAAGTGAGAGATAATGGCAGAACCAACATCATCTAGAGTAGAGAAATGCCCTTCAGAGGTAGTGATTTCCTTAATACGGTTGATGTTCCCTCTATTTTTAATTTTTGCATACAAGAAACCTAAGTCATCTTCACCTTGAGAAAGCCACTTAGCCTTAGCACATTGAATAGTCCAAGAGCACCAAGCTGAATTGTAATAGGAGAGTAAGGAGTTGATACGTTTCAAGTGTGCATTCAGGCAAGGATCCAAAGGATTGCTATCAATCAACTGTAAACAGTTCTTTTGATCTTTTTCCAGCCTAACCATATTGTCTTTGATGAAGGAAGAAGAAGCCCAAGTTTGTTTCTTAAGGATATGTTTAAGGATCCTTAATTTGTGGTAAAGATTAGCAATATGGCTAGCATTCTTATGATTTGCAAAAGCAGAGACAACACAATCCCAGAAGCCATACATGTTAATCCAAAAGTTCTTAAAACGAAATCTACCACCAGCTTGTTTAGCATTTCCATTAAGCAGAATCAGGGGAGAGTGGTCAGAACAGCCTGGAGCTTCAACTTTGTAAAAGGAATTTGGGAATTTGTTCAGCCATGAGTAATTCACCAAGATTCTATCAAGCTTTATATGTATGGGTTCATCCAACCTTTGGTTGAACTAGGTATAGTGAAGTCCAATGGAGGAGAGATCAAATGTGCCGGTCTCAAACACCCATGAATTCATTTCATTCAATTGACTAGGGGTCGGGGTAAGGCCACCCATTTTATCCTGAGTGCTTATGTAACAGTTAAAATCCCCCATAATGATCCATGGAGAGGTGAGGTTGCTGGCTATATTCTGTAACTGGTTCCACATAGGTACTCTATCAGAAGGCGTGTTGCCCGCATAGACAACAGTCATAAAGAACTGGGTGGAGTCTTTAAGAGACACAGTACCATGGAATAAATGTTGAGAGATGGAGAGGGGGCTAAAAGACGTGGCATTAGGATTCCATTTGATCCAAATTCTCCCAATAGAGATGGGAGAGGCATTGTTACAGTTAAGTTCATCATTGAAGATCTGATGAGATTTTTGAAACCAAGGGTCGGAGAGTGCCATAGAAGGGGTTTTAGCTTCGAGAATGCATATCATGTCAAGGTGGTGGGAGGCAACAAGATTCTTACATGAGAAGACCTTGTCAGGACTGTTGAATCCCCTCACATTCCAGCAGCCAATGAGAGGCAGGGTCATTTTGATTTGGATGTGTTATGCGCTTTTTTGGCGCTTTTGGACTTAGGTGGCTTAGAACTTTGGGATTTGGGGTGGGACACTTTCTTAGGGGGCTCCTCCAATTGATGGGAAAACTGGCTAGAAGCAGCATCAGATTCATCATGTTCATCGGCTTGATCAGGAGGCTCTTCAGGTTGGAGGATAATGAATTTATTTGGGGAAACTGTGTTATTTATTTGTTGTGGGGGAATAAGGGTTGGAGGATGCTTAGAAAATTTTTGAGGGGGTGAGTAAGCTAGTTCCGAATCCCCAACAATAGATGGGGAATTGGTCTGAGAAGTAGGGTCAGTGTGAGTATTGTCAATGGGGGCGGGGGGGGAATTTAATGTGGTAGCGCTGTGTTTAACACAGGGATTACATGGAAGAGGAGGAGAGAAGGAGAGTCGAGGGGATGAGGGAGGTAGTAATTTGAGGGGGGTTGATGGTGGTGAGCTGAGGCGGAAGGGAAGTGGCATTAGTTGGCTGTTGGAGAGAAGTGGTAGTCGTGTGAGGACTGGGGTTATTGAGAAGAGGAGAGGAAGCTGAATTTGGAAGGGGGGGTCGAGCAAAGCGGGCTCTGCTTCTACTGCGACCACGGGGAGGAGCCTGAACAAGCGACTTAGCAGTGGGGTTTTTGGGGCATAGGGACAAGGGGTGTACCAGTGAGCCGCATCAAGAACAAAGGGTGGGTTTCCAGTCATAGATGACTTTGAGCTGCACATCATCCCCATCTAGCGAGATCGGTATTTCATCCGGGAAGGTCGAAGTACTGGAAACCATGACGCAAACCCTCGCAAAAGTCAGGTGAGTTTTGCGTGCTGTGAGGGCATCCACCGCCAGGGGGTGGCCAATAAAGATCGCTATTTTGGAGATCCCTAACGGATTCCAAACAGCTAGCGGCAAATCCACAATTTTAACCCAAATCGGGATGGAAGAAAAGTCATCCCGTTTTGGTTGAAATTTAGGATTCCATTTTTGAAGGATGAAAGGGCGTCCAAAGAAAAACCAAGGGCCACCCGCCCAAATGCGTTCGAAGTCCTCCGGCGAAGAGAACTTGAAAAGAAAAAAACCATCGTTCAGAGTAAGGAGATCGATAGAACCTTTGGGGTCCCAAACCTTCTTGATGGTGTTTTGAAGACTCAGGTAAGGGGGTCTCGGGCCAACGGAGTAGCCAACCAGCGATAAGCTCCAATCTAGTACTCCAAGAGCAAGATCTTCAGCTGAGAAAGGAATTTTGGTGGAGGAAGGGATGAAGGATAGGCCAAAATCATTAGCCACCGGGTCACGGTTAGTTAGGTTGGATATAAAGTTTAAGCCATGGGGCACAAGGAAAGCGCTAGCACCAGCTCCAGGAAGAGGAGGGAAGTCAGCAGCGTAAGAGGAGGAAGCCATTTAAGCGGGGAGGGGAGGGAAGACAATCCCTCCCCAAGGAAGAGAGAAGAAGGCGGCAAAGAGAGAGCGGGGCGCCGAGGAGCAAAAACCCTAGCGGATGTCCTAGTATCCTGTAATATCTCACATACATTTATAAAATAATTTCAGAAAAAGCAAAAAAAAATTAATTGGAAAAACTAAATAATTAAAAATTAGGACGCCTGGACTCGTTAAAGCAATCCTCTATTAAAACATAATAAAGACCACTCTTCCTCTCAATTAGAGAAACAAAATTATAGGACATGGATTATAATCTTGAATGAATCTAATGGCGAATATTAGAGATACAGTGATGGATGATAATGTTGGACGATATTAATCAGGAGAAGATGGTCAAGAGACAAAGGTCTAATGATGATGGGCAAATGATTGTGGTGAGACAATAGTGTTTGGGTAATGGTGATCACATGTAATGTCGATCGGGCAATGGAGATCACATGATGATGGTCAGACATGCAATTGTGATAATGTTGTTGGTGGCAATATTGGTATCGACCGTGTGGCAAAGCTCTATGGTTTTTCATATTTCTAAGTTCTATAAAATTTGAGATCGCATATGATAATTTTTATATTAGAGAAAAATAATATCTATGAGCTAAAAAAGTGGTCGACTACATTACAAAAATGGATATTTCTTTGTGATAAGTCATCACAAAATTATCTTGATTGGGCACGAATCTCGAGGCAAAATCAGTTCGGAAACTCCAAAAATTAATTTCGGGAGCATATGAACTCCGATTTCAGCGAGCTTACAGTCAAACTGAGCGTCTCGGAAATATGAACCCAACGACACCACCAATCCAAGCCCAAATGAGTTCGAATCAAGGGTTCAAAGCGCTGTTGGAAGATTCAAACCGCAATTTGAGTTACCAAACGGTCTCCAATTTTGACGAGCTTATACTCGAATCGAACGGATCAACGAGACGAATCAAACGAGCCCAAGATCATTGTGAGTTACCAAACGGTCTCCGATTTTGACGATCTTATACTCGAATCGAGCGGCTCGACGAGACGAATCCAACGAGCCCAAGATCATTAAATTCCGACATCATTAAGGCCTTCAAATGTCCAACGAACGGTGCATAATCAAAGGATTCGATATCGGCCGTCCATTCAAACCACTCCCAATTCGCCCTTGATCTCACGCCTATTTACGGGCTATGCCACTCCAAAAAACTATAAATAGAGCCCTCATTCTACACCAAGGGGACTCAAGTGAAGAGAGAGAAGAAGAAGAGAAGGAGAAGGAGAAAGGGGAAAAGGAGATTCCTCACCTCCTCGACCACCGCCGCCGGAG